TCAATGTAAAGCTGGCTATGATCTGAATGAATGGGGAAAAAAAACCCTAAAACCCCCAAAACTTGTTAAGATGCCATTTGCTTCATTTAAATCACAGCCTTTTCCCCTCTTCTTTCTCATTTCAGTCATATTCTGCTTTCTGTGAGCAAGTACTGAGTCCTGGTTTTGCTGAAGAACTTTGGACACCGTTAGCATCACTGACTCTTTTCCTACTTCCTCGTCTTTTTGTCATTTTTATAGTATAGGACATTTATGATGCTTGCTATGGCACCTTCTGTGTTCAGGCTCACAGAATTCCTTCCCATCAGCTTCCACAGAGTGCAATCTGCTGTCACTGGTCCTGTGGTGCACGTTGTGGGAGGGGAGAGAAAAGATGGCAAAAGCTGCCAGGAACAAATCCCGAGCAAGCAGCTCCACATGCCAGGTCCTTCCATCTCTTTGAACATCCCCTTTATTCTTAAGATGCTCCAAAAGTACAGAGACATTTTTCAGATCAAGGATAGCTCCTTGCTTGTGCCTTTTCCTCTGAACTGACTGGATACTGAGTTTGTGGAACTGAGGTTTAGAGCACATGGTGCAGTGAGAACTCTCAAATGAAATGTTGTGGCAGGACTTTTGCTTATGAATAATCATTCATCAGAAAGAGTGATTAAGTGTCAGAGCTCATGACTCTTTTAGAAGCTTATTACTACTATCAGTGTATACAGTAGAGAATGTGGGGTTTTTTTTCTTCTCAACTCCTAAGGAGGGAAAGCAAAATTGATTTGGGAAGTAGCTCACGTATATTGATATTAAATATTAACATGAAACACTTGATTTAGAAAGCTTTGGATATTTCCAACATTTTGATACAGTCCAAAAGATTATGCAAAGTCCACAAGAAGCCTTTCTGAGTGATCCAGTAACGTTAAAAACCATTCTGCTTTTGCAGCAAGGCTAAATCTGGTTTGCTAACTTCAATGTCACGTTTCAGTAAACAGAAACTTCTGGAGATTCTTTTTTTTTTATTGTTTCAGCATCTTATCAGTTTGCATCAAGGTGAATATTTTTTAGTATGTCTGCACACTGTTAATCACTTACAGTGTATTACATCACACAACCTGCACCAATACAGAAAAAAATGCATAAAACCATAGAATGATAGAATGGCCTGGGCTGGAAGGGACCTTAAAGACTATAGAATTCCAACAACCTGCCATGAGCAGGAACACAGGAACACCTTCCACTAGACCAGGTTGCTCAGAGCTTCAGCCAACCATGCCTTGAACACATCTGGGGATGGGGCAACCACAACTTCCCTGGGCAGCTTGTGCCAGTGCCTCACCACATTCACAAGTAAAGAATTTCTTCCTAATACCTAATCCAAACTCTCTTTCAGTTTGAATCCATGCCCCCCTCGTCCTGTCTCTACACGCCCTTGTAAAAAGTCCCTCTCCATCATATCAGGGCAAAGTGAGAAACCAGAGAGTGAGAAACGCTGAACTTGCTGGAGCTGACTCTAACAGTCTATTTTTTCATTTTCTGAGGGCGAAAAACCGAAGGAGGCAGGGAAGTGATGGGTTCACGGTTTGTTTCTCCGGCTGTGATGAGTGCCCCAAGCCAGCGGGGCGCTGCAGTACCGCATCCTGCCACGGGAGGGCGACAGCCGCGCTGCCCCGCCCGCTCCCAGGCTGCGCGCACGAACCCTCTGCGCCACTTCGGAACCAAACCAGCCCCAAAAAACACCCCAAAACCCCTCTGAGAGCACCCCAAAGGCACCGGGAGCATCCCGCCTCTGAGAGCACCCCAAAGGCACCGGGAGCATCCCGCCAGGCGACACTGAAACCTCGCGGGGCTGTCCGAGCGTTAGTATGCAAGTGGAGCCTTAAGAGATTTCGTGTGAATAATACCAAAAAGGTCTAAGCTTCTTAGTGCTGCAGGAGTGGAAAATCCCATTTCAGATGTTTGTGCTCATAACTAGGAAAGAGGGGAATGAAGGGTTTTGGTTTTAAGCAGCTAAAGCGCTGTCCAACTGCAAGACAAGTGGGATGTAGCACTTAAGTAATGACTGTTTTGGTGTCAAGTTACGCCCTAAAATGTACAGCGATCTTACTAAATGAGTAACAGCAGGGTCTGCCCTCTATCTAGTAATAAAAAGCAAAACAAAACAAAAAATAACGTTCCAAAATTAATAATAACAATCTATGATAAAATGTATAGTAAAACAGTTCATTATTATAAATACTCCATTAAAATATTGTGATTCAACTTTCTTGACGGTTTTTTTACATTCTTAGACCAATTTTACTTATGAAAGTAAGCATCTCTTTATTTAAAGGTGTTAGGAGCTCATGCTATTGCAAGTTTACTCAGCACAGCTGTTAAACTCTTAATTCTTCTTCCACTGCTCTAAGGAAAATTAAATGCTGCAGATGTTATCCTTTATAATGCCATATATACAGAATCAGTTCCTCATTTGCAGGGCAAGTTATTTATTTTTTCCTACTGATCTTCAAGGCAATCATGATCATTAGGCATTGCCAGGGTTAAATAAACATGACCTAAAGTGATCACAAGTCAGAAGTTATGTGAAAGAGATATTCTCATGTCAATAAGTGGAAATCTAGGAACTGCACTTGAAATATTTCAAACAAATCCCTCTCTTCAGATGAAATCATATTAAGAACACAAGTGAAAAGGCAGAAATAGACCTGAAACTAAAACATTTCCTGTCTCTGAGATATATTTGAACTAGACAGTCTACATTATTAAAGAGGCTAGTGGTCACAGATAATCAATAGGTTAAACTCCATAAAATAAAGAAAACCCAAAACCCAAAATGGCAACAAGAAGACAAAAAAACCCAAAAAAACCCCACCCAACCAAGCAAACAAACAAAACAAAACAAACAAACAAAAAAAAATGAATACTCTTATACTCTCTGAAATTTTTTACCCATTCCAGCTCCACATGCCTGACCCTCTTTCACTCCAGAGCAACACCCCTGTGTCAGGATCCTGCGTGTGCCCTGGCAGCATTTCTGCAGCGTGCAGCCCGGACAAGCCCACCTGCCAGGAATTCCCCTAAGGACAACTGCAAGGAGCTTAAGAAGATTTGCATCCATTCATAAAAGATCCCTTTGCTTAAGATGAAGCCAATGTGGAACGGCATGCAGGAACTTGGGGTACTTTCAGGGCTATTGCCTAATTTTCCAGAGCCCCAAGCCCATGCAATTCCCAGTTCTCACAGGGAAGGAGGGCACTGAACATCACTTCAGAGCAATCCCTGCTATCCAGCACCATTATTGCCTGACACTGTTTTGCTCCAAGCCTTCCTCACCTCATGAAACCTCTCCTTCTCCCATCCCACAAAAAGGGAACAAACAGCACGTTTTGAAAACGTTCAGTGGAGAACTATTGCCAAGGATTATCTGAGACTGAGGAGCAATCCCTGCACCATGATCTAGTGCAAAACCCAACTTCACAGCTCTTATCCCTTGCTGTAAATCCACTGTTACCCCCAACCTCTCTGATGCTTCCCATGCTTTTGCAGCTACCCTCCCAGATTTCCATTCAAACCTGGGTGTTTCCTCAGGCTTGCACATGATAAAGACCCACTGAAGCCAACAGAAACACTCCTCCACCTATCCCACAACCCCATTCCAGGGTCTCCTCCAGATCAAACCTCAGGATATCTGAGCATCTAAGAACCAGCTGTTGTTCTAAGACCATACCAACATCCCACAGCCAACTCGTCACAAGCAGACACTTTTTAACAATAAGAGAAACATCATGAAATTAAACAAAAAAATTGGAAAGTCACGCAGCTTTATTACTCATGTATAGCACCAGCCTCTTAGAAAAAAAGTAAGGCTCAAATAGTTTTTATTTAAATACTGCAAATTAGTGAGCAGGAGCAATGATACCAGTAAAACATGGGCATTTGTATGATTTTATTTCAAAATAAAGTTCTCAACCCTAGACCACGAGGAGCTTTTCAGAGCTGCAGGTGGGAGCTAGGAACACTTGCCTGCCTTTTTCATCTTAGAAAACTCTGGGCACATCTTTAAATAGGAGTAATTCAGAACTTCAGAGAGTATCTGAGCTCTTCTAGTAAGGAAAAAAAAAAACCAGTAAGGAAGAAAATTTTGCATAGTTATGTTTAAAGAGAGTGTGGCACAATATCCAAACATAAAACCAGTTAAACCCCACTTTTATCTGTCACACCCACCAGGCATTTTTACTCTGCACTCTTTCATTTATATTAAGTGCATTTACTACTGGTTTTCAATCTGTTTTCTTGCTAAGACATTATATAACAGGAATTAAGGAGTCAGAGCCCTTTGAAGCACCCTCAGCACATGAGAAGACTCATTCAGCAGGTTGTTAGACACAATGAAAGAGAAGATGCATGAAACCAAGAGCACTTGCACAATCCTCCTCCCCAGTCATCTGCTTTGTCTCTGCCACCTTTCTTTTAGGTTTTGGTCAGCAGAGTTTAAAGAGCTCCAGCTTTGTGAATCTTTGGGGTTTTTTTTAAGACATATCTAACCACCAACGTGTACAAAAGCAGCCACCCAAAGCTGAACGGAGTTTTTATCCTGAACTGCTGTACTGGTCCTTTAACTTTTTATGACTCATAGTTCAAGTATTTGGGAATTCCCCTCTAAATATGAGTTTGACACACTTGCATTATGGAAAGTTATTTTATTCAAAAAGTAACAAAATGCAATATTCATGCAATACCCAGGTCTATATTTAACACCACACAATTGGGATTTTCTTTTTTTCTTCTTTTTTTTTTTTTTTTTGCAATAACACTTCTAATTAAAGACAGATAAAAAAAATCGAGAACAAGACTGAATAGCAGAAGTAGCAGCATTGAAAGAGACAATCACAGTATTACACATCCAAGCAAGTCAGGATTTCTTTTTTTTTTAACTATTCAAACAATGTTAGAGCTGTTTACCTTCTTCCCTGGACCCCCCAGTTGCATGTAAGAGTGCACAGCTTCTCTCTTACCTGTGTGCTGGTCCTTTCTTGGTCGGCTGGCTACTCATCAGGGATCACCTGACTAAATCCTGGAAAGAAATTAAAATATAATCAGCTGACCACCCTTGCTCACTGGCTTCCAGCTTAAATACTCCTCTCCACAGCACTCTGTCATGTGAGGCAGGACAGAACCAGCTGTCATTGCTCCAGAAAAAAGGGAAATGGGCCCCTCCGTTTCCACCTCCTTCCTTCCTCCTCGCTCACTCTTTCCTATCTGTCCCTGCCTCCTCCCTCCTCCCTTTTTCTCATTCTTCCACTTTGCTCATTCACTGCCCGCCTGGCTGGGGTCTCCCAGGGGAAGCCGCATTCCACAGCGCACAAGCATTTCCCCTGCATCCCGAGGTTTCTCAACAAGCTGCCTACACATTTGTACTGGGGGAAAAAAAAAAAAAAAAAAAAAAAAAACAAACAAAAATAAATCAGAGAAAAACAGAGAAAAGGCACCACATTCCACAACCCTCAGTCAGCCCTGGCAGACTACGAGACATTTTCAGTCACACAGCACAAAATGCATTAGTCAGAGCTGGAGGACCACACACTTTGTACCACTACCATGCTAACAGAGAATGGTCTGAGCAGAGCCACAGGAAAAAGGAAAGGAGGGGTTCCTATTGGTGCTTCCATTTTACATGGGGTGGTCACCTAAGAGCATGAAAAATCCGCAGGAAAAGGCCCACAGTTGACATTCCCAGCAGAAACAATGTGGACGTGGGCAGCGGGGAAAGCTCTGCGCTCACGGAGCGCGACCTTTGCCGAAAGGACTCCCCCTCCAGCAGAGTGTGTTATTCCAAAGACTGCAAGACATTATCTAAATCAGAACTTCTATCTCCCCGATGGTTTGTGCATAGGAAATGCAAGCCTAGAAAAAGTGAAAGTAATACTGCATGATTCAGATTCCCCGAAACCACATATACTTTCAGTTCAGACTCCTCTCTTCTTCGCCGCTCCTTACAGCTCTGCAGCTTTATCCATCTATGGAGTTTTGTTTCCTCTACTTACGCAGTTTCAGCCCTCCGTGCTCGCAGGGAATCTGATCAGCAAGAAACGAGGAGGGAGCTCGGCGTAAAAAAAAAAAAAAAAAAAAACAAAAAAAACCCCTCTCGGTCCTCATCCCAATGACCTAATCACTCATCTATCTGCTCACTGCTTCCGTCCCCCACACGCACTGATCTCCTGCCCGAAGGCGTTTCAGGAGTGAGGACACGGCTTGGGAGAACACACCGCTCCCAAAATCGCATCGGAGAGGAACAGCGCTGCGAGGAGCACGCGTTTGTGTCCGCTGGGAACAGCAGCACCGCGGAGCCCCCAGACCCAAATTCCCTGCTCCCAGCCGCGAATTCCTTCCTTTCAGCCCCAAATTCCTGACTCCCAGCCCCGAATTCCCGGCTCCCAGCCCCGAATTCCTGACTCCCAGCCCCGAATTCCCGGCTCCCAGCCCCGAATTCCCTACTCTCAGCCCCAAATCCCCGACTCCCAGCCCCAAATTCCTGACTCCCAGCCCCGAATTCCCTCCTCTCAGCCCCAAATTCCTGACTCCCAGCCCCGAATTCCCTCCTCTCAGCCCCAAATTCCCGGCTCCCAGCCCCGAATTCCCTCCTCTCAGCCCCGAATTACCGGCTCCTAGCCTCGAATTCCCTGGTCCTAACCCAAATTCCCGACTCCCAACCCCAAATTCCCGGCTCCCATCCCCGAATTCCCGGCTCCTCACGGGACTGTCCGTAACACACCCTGCCAAGAGCCAGGGGCTTAACCCGGAGTCAGAGAAGAGTAGGGAGGCGGGGGGAAGATGGGGAGAACCCTCAAGCGCCTGCACTGGAATTTCTCTTCAGAAAAGTCCATGCTTTAATGAAAGACTGATACTAGATACCACAAAGAAACTTTTATTTCTGTACGCACATGACTCAGATGCATTTTCTGTGTGGGTTATGTGGTTGTGTTATGTTTCATCTTAAAAAACTGTTTCAAAGAGACCTTTAAACATTAGTTTTAAGAAAAACTCGATGTGTTTATGTACAGTGAGTGTTTTAAAACTGCCTTTTATTGCACAATGCTGTATAAAGCAGAGACACTAATGTCTGTTTTCATTATAGACATAATTTGAATCTAATACTAAACACAATAATCTGTAAAAATATTTATTTTAAATTACATCCCTAAATAGTTCCCAGAAAAGTAAACAAACTGAACCCTTCAGCAAAACAGATCCCCTTAGTTACAATATTGTTATCTGCCCTCTCTTCTCATTTTCTCGATTTTGAAAATACATTTACTCACTGCGTTATTGACTTAGATGCATTAGTTTATAAAATAAATGGTAGCTGCTGTTGTGGAGTATTTCAGCAGAGGAAGGCTGTCCAGAACTGCCTCAGAGACCGAACACTGTCGCCATTATAACAAAAGCATTAAAATGAATAATTCATGAGCAGAGGAAGTACCCTACCATTAAAAGGCACCGACTATTTCATGAATTGTCCAAAAGCTACCCCTTTTACTGCCCAGTTCCTCTTACTACTTAACTATGCTTCATTTTTCTAAAATGGCATCAAGTAGTAATCAGCAGAAACACACGGAGCACTTGTAGGAGACTTTCCTGAGGAGTAAGAAATGACGGCTAAGAAGTGAGCCAGAGAGAAGGAAGGAAATAAAAGTATGTCTGATGATGGATAGATCAAGGAAATGAGACTTGAGACTTGAAGGGGCTTTTCCAAATTGTCCATTTGAATCTTGAGAAGGAAGAACATCGACAAATATTATTTGCAGAAATAAAGGCAATCAGTTCTTTGCCTTTATCCTGTACCTTCTTTTTCAGGATCCCAAGGCATCATGAAAATGCTCAGGAATTAAAAAGCCCCGTTACTGAGGATTTTCAGAACTTTCCTCCTGTTTATAGGTGCAGAACATAAGATCTCAAGAAGACTAAATTGTTTTCTCCAGGTCACACAGGAAGGCTTGGAGACTGAGGCAAGAATAGAGCTTCATCCCCTGGCTACCAGTCCTGTGCCCAACAAAAAGAGCAACTTCCTTGCTTTATGCTAACAAGCATCAAAAAGTTCAACAGTCCTGCAGGTTTTTAACCCAATAAAATGAACAGTGGTGCACAGGCATTTTCTGCAGGGATAGAGGAACATTCTGAACCATTAACCTCACATTACACCAGAATTATGAGCTAACTTAAGTTTTGAATAAAGTATTTAAAGGAATTTGGCCTGGAGTAGCAAAGAGCATCTGCTGCTCATGTTTCTTTTATCTGCTGCAGGAAACACACGTACAGTGCCTGGAAGGAGATTTATTTCTAACTTTCAAACTTTTCAAGACATTCAAAACTGGTACACTAACATTAATAAACTTCTCAGATTTAATTTGAACCAACACCCAGTTCTTAAAATTGAAGAAATTGCATCTCTAAGCCACTCTGCCAAATGGGACAGCATTCCATAATGCTGAGCAAAAACCATCCTAAACATCTTTACTTACATGGGTCGCTTTCTAGGTGTCCTACTCTCTTACACTATTGGGAAGAACTCAAACACAATTCTTATTCCAAGGCTCTCATTGCAACAAGTTCACCAATTATGTGGTAGCAAGCCCATAAATACTGAAATACAAAAACATGCCCCCAAGGCATCATGGATGGAATGAAAACATGAGGTGTAACTTTGCAAGATCAGACACTGTCACTGGTCAACTTACTGATGATCCTGGGCTTTTTATTTTTAAACCAGTTGGCTTCTTTGCAGAGCATTGGTAAGCACTTTTTTGATTGTGACTTTACAATTTCTAGGGGTTTTTTTTCTCTTTTTAAAAAATTTCAATAGCATCAATTTGAGAGAGATGCTCTTTTGATCTGGTATTAGATGGATGACTTTCATTCTGCCAAAAAATTTGCCCTTCAGTCAACTCAGAGCTGCTCCCACAGCAAGTCCTCACAGGAATAAGGAAATGCTCTTTAACAGCTAGAACAATCTGTACAGTTAAACATATTTTTAGTCATCAGTCCCCAAGGAACTGTGAGTAGAACTGAACTACAAAACAAATATTAAAAAATCCCATATTTTTTTGTTACATATAATTAATTAGCCCAGCTCACAGCAAGCAGGTTTATTGTAACTGATAGGCTATTTTAGTATAAATGACCATTAATGGTTTGATAACTTGTGGCAGGAAGAAAGAGGAGGAAAACCCACTAAATACTTATGATAACTCTTCCAAAGATGGAAGATCTCTTTTTAAAAATTACACCAAAAAAAACCCAAAACCAAACAACCAAAAAACAGTTAAGGAAAGAAATTCTGTGAACACTTCAAGTTTATCTCCTTCAAAATATTTATCTTGAGTCAACATTACAGGAGAAATTCCTTGTTGACAAAAACCAGTATGAGTGTGTCCACCAAACCAGCAACCTCCACCAGGGCATCCAGACTACTGAGTCACTACCTAAACACAAGTGTTCCAGAGAACAAATAGCATCAAATAGATTACTTCAGAGAAAACAATGAGAAAGATCACCACTACTTCTACTTGGAAGCAGATGAAAAAAAAGGAAGGTGAAGAAAAGGAAAGGAAATAAAAAGTCATCATGTCTGCAATCAGAGCAAAATTTCCAAGTGAAAGGAACTCAATCAGCATTTTGCTACTTGGACAGGAGGGAGAGGGGATGGGAAGAGAGAGGAGAGACCTGTAGAGCACTAACAATCAGATTGGTACATTGTTCAGTATGCACAACTGTCTCAAAATTACATTATGGCTTCAAGCAAGAACAAATGGAATTATATAAACCAGTGTAATGATAAGGCAATCAAGCACAAAAGAAAAAATAAGAAATCAGAGGTTAAAGAAGTTATCCAAGCTGTATCAGCTATACAAAAATAACCCATCTGCTCTCAGTTTGCCAAAATTGTGGTCAGATAATGTATACAAATTTATATCTAGGAGCTTAGATATGTTTAGAGAGTTCTAATATTTGTTTTACCTCCAGTGAGAGAATTTATGTTCCACAGAGCAGTGGTGTTTGCTGTTGTTTACTTGTATC